CTTGACTAAAAAGTTTAAATATAAAAGTTTAAGTCCGTTCGAAAATCAAACCAGACTCAAAATTGACTAAAGACTGGTTCGGGTCCGGTCCGTCTAAATCATATACTACAAGTTTGGGTTAGAGACAAAAACCCTAAACTATATTTTATAATCTAGCTTAAAACTTTAATTTCGGGTTTCGGTTTCACCTCTTAGGTGTACAAATATTCATAGGGTCAGCCGGGTGAAAATATCTACAACCTGATTACAGTGTTTCAAGTTTTAGTCGATTGATGATTTTGATAACCAGTACATATTATTATAGTTATCTTAGCTAAATTAGTTGGCATAGTTGACCCAGTTGGCTTAACTCGGTTAGCTCGGTTAACTCGGTTGACTGGTCAACTCATGACACGGTTAACTAAATTAATCAACCGAATAATTTCTATTGAACCGACTGTACCCAGTTAAGCCCGGTTCGGTTAATTGGATATCGATTTTTATATTTGGTTCAAATCACTAACCCATATATTAAGAATTATCTTACAACAGGTAATTTCTTAGTGATTTGTTTATTTTATAAATTTGCAAACTGCAATAAATCATATTGATTACTGTATTTTCGTGAAATAACGCGCAGGTTGTAATTTCGAATTTGGCCTAAATTGGGCTTAATTCTGGCCGAAATTCGAAATAACGCGTTATTCCACTTATTTAACTTTAAAAGGACTAATATAAAGGGAAATAAGAAGAGGTTTCATAACTAACATACAACCTTGAGGTATTATTCTTAAAACTCTTGGGGGAGAAAATAAAACGAAAAAATAAAATGAGCCACTTGGTTTGGAGAAACAAATCCGTTATGACGAATTAACTTCAGATCAAAAGCTGCCAAACTGTAACCTAGAGATTTTACTTGAGCTGCTCGAAGTTAATTAGCTGGTTATCTCGTTGTAAGGGTTATAATTTTAAACGAACACGATTTATTTCACGAAACGACTGGACAATTTTATTTAATGAAGTACCGTAAACCTTGGTATAAAACAATTTTTCCGACAAATATTGACCCGATTTAGTTAGGGTTGGCTAGAGATGGTTGTCGGCGAATTCTATCAGAATCAGATTCTTGATTTTGATTGGCTGAGAGCGATAATCAAAAATTCAGGCCGAAGTTATTTTAAATTTCACTGATTAAACCATTAAGTAAAAAATATTTCTGGGATAATTTAACTAATGTGTGGACCTATTTCTCTAAAATTTCCATTTTTGGAATGAAAAATTATGTAAACAATTATTAATGCGAGACAAAAAATTTTTCCAAAAAAATCGGTTATTTGTCGTGACAAAATTGGTGCGGCAAATAGATTATTTATATAGATGTTCCTTAATTTAGTATTGATTAACATTTATTATAGCGATAGTTCGTAGATTTCTCAGAATTTAGTAATGATTATCGTGTTGGCAAATAGAACTGATGATTAATAGATGCGCGACATGGTTTTACTAAAAAACCAAGAACGTAATCACACCAAGATAAAGTTTGATAAAATCTGCACTCGTATACTTAATATTTTTATGCATCGCTACGCCATTCTAGATGGCTGCAAATCATATATTCCATTATGTATGCATGACTATGTTTGTATTACAAAATGCCATGTTTAGGACTAATAACGGTAAAACGTAAAGCCAATCGCATTAGATTGACAATTTTGCTAACCTTTATTATTCTGGATTCTAAACAGAAACTTCCGGAGTGCTACGTACAATTTACTTTGAAGCCCTCGTGAAATAATAGATTAATGAGAAAATAAAAATGTGAAAAAAAGACAGACTAAACATATTGAATCGTTGGAAGTTTTAGAATCCATATTACTTTTCTAAGCTTAGCCTCAATAATGATCTTAATAATTATCATAATTTAATTAAAAGGAGTTATCCTCATTTGACACTGCATACAGTACCCAAGGTCTTATTCAAGAACTTAATTTTTTAAATTAAATAGTACCCGTCAGAAACTGGATACCATATTTGTGATATATCATATGAGAAGTAATAAAATAATAGTTATACTCGAGTATTATTCAAGAATTAGGCAGGGCGGTGAATATTCGGTGAGAGTATTATTTTGAAGATACTATATATGCGCCAAATGGTAAATGTCATATGCACTACCTAACTTTTTATTGCATGCATTTAATAAGCTTGCATTGAACTTATGCTGGATTAAACACAATGAAGTTGACTTAATTATAACGATCAATATGAAATGTGTATCAAATCAATTCCGAAAACCTATTCATATTAACAATCATTGTTTAGGAAGAAAAATGTCTGTGCATACACATATGTACGTACTAGGGATCTGCATGCCCGGCACATACCCGTGCCTAACAAAAAACTTAAGGCACAGGCACTGGTATAGGTACATAGTGCTACCTAAAAAACGCCAAGCAGTTTCTTAAGCACTGATACTGCGCACGGCAATGACACTAGTGCCATGGCACAATAGTTGCCGTTCAAACCTAACTAGTTGGAACTTTGGGACTTTCTAGGGTATTAACCATATTTAGGACAAGTTAAAACCTTGGAAATCAATCTTTTTCCAAATTCACAAATTGGGATTTGAGATTAGTTAAAACTTTGGGACTCAACCTGATCCAAATTTACGAATTGGGATTTGGGACAAAATTTCAGATACAACCTGTTTGGACCAATAATATCAACAATTTGATCAGCAACTATACATGGCACAATGACAATGAGATTGGCATAATAGTTTATCGCGATTAATCAACAATAAATTTGACCGGCACATGAGGCACAGACATGGACAAAGATACAGGCATCTAAAAAATGCCAGGCACATATTTAGGCACTAGACTAAGCACCAGCACTAGGCATAAGACTGCGCCTGCTTTTTGTGCAATGCCAATATGCATGGCACGGGCATTTACAGACCCCAAACATACGTGCTGTAACTAACAAAAGTAACGTCTGATGGAATTTTCGAAATCAAATTGTTGATGATCACTTTATATCAAACTTAATTTTCAATTAGAATACACTAAGTAAATATTCCTGAGATAAAGTACAGTACAAAATTTTTTATAACATTTGATAATTTTATTAATATATTTTATTATTAAAATATTAATAAAAACTTTGCATAATGTTTAATCGATTAAATTAAACTATATTACTGATTTACAAAGCCCAAAGCCATATCTATGTCCTATTTTGATAAGGCAAAAATAAAAGGTTTGCATAAGTACGGCACAACATAAAATTATTTTTCTAATTAATAATATAAACAATACCTTATATTCGGATAATCTAATATATACTTCAAACTCTATTAGAAGAATAATGTTATCGAGTGCTTTGTTAAATAATTTAAGGGTAATTCTTTGCAATACCATTTTTATTATATAAAATTTTAATATAAATTTCAAGTTAGAATATAAAGAAAGATTTTAAATAATTTAAAACGTTTGTTGCATAAAACATTCACAGATTCATCAGAATCCGAGTACTGTACTTACTTATCGCAGAGGTTCATGTATTGTAACATAGTGATTGTTTTTTCTGCACAAATCTTAATTATAGGAATTTCTATTTGGATTTTATGAAGGCTTCGATTTTCTATTGTACAGTTATAAAACAATCGCAAAAAGTTACCCTTAAGTCAAGTACTTCTTAAAGCATTCAGATTATTTTGTGCCTCTAATTTAAAGTTTGAGAATATTTATTAGGCTCTCCTAATTTGAAATTTTATTTATATTAATTAGAAAAAATATCTTATTTTTGTCTTAATACTAAACATTAAAATTTTTATTTGTGCTTGAGTAAACACTTATTTTATTAATGACCATACCAAACTTTATTAAAGTAGAACATAGATATGATTTTGGACCATGTAATTATAAACATTGCTTAATTCAAGATAATCTCCTGTATTAGAATTTATAAATATTTCTATTATGAATATCTATTAATAAAATTTTATCAAATTTATCGCTTTTATATTTTATCTTGTAAGTATTTATAATATGCTACTGCTAATTTATGTAATATACAAACTAAACTTGATATGTAATAGGTAATTACCAAATTGATTTCGAAAATTTCATCGGATGTTTACTTTCGCCGGTGACTGCACGTTTATGTATGTATGTGCGATAAAGTTCAAGTGCATTGAATATTGCAAATAATGCAAATTTGCGTTTTATACATTGTACAGCATACATTATACTTATTTATGGACATTTAAGACTTAGACTATTTTATCTATGACCTCAATGGATCAATTTTGACAACTGAGTTCAGTAAAGAAAAATCTTACAATTTTTTCTTGGTAGTACTCAAATATACTTTCTAAATTTGATATTGTTTGCTTGCCATAATACATTAATTAATTTGATTGTTTAAATACTAATAGAACACAACTGCTATTTTATTGTGCACAGAAAATTTTTTATAAAAAATAGATTGTGTATAAATATTTAACTGCGTATTCATTAGTTTCGAACACTGGTTACGAATAATATATTGTAAATTCTTTAGCGATATCTAATATTACTGTCTTCACATGCTTTTTCGTTTTAGATTATTTATAATAAAATTTTGAACATGAAATATGCAATAAATAAAAAAAAAATGCTGAAATTACGCCAGTCAATGCATTATTTGGTGTTATTAAATACTTCCACAGTTTATTATTAATTATAATTTCCTGAAAGAATAAGTTTACTATAATAAATGTTAGTAAGCCTCTTGTATATGAAGTTTCCGGGAAATGTCTTTATAGTTCCCTGGCTATAATTTTTACTACCAATTGCAAATTACCCTAGAAAAAATGACGCAAGAGGTCATGTAAGGGATTAATAGAATAAAATGGAATCTCTGTTATAAAATTTGCAGATGAAATGCAAGTCTTTATAAACAGATAGTCATTTCATTGGTAAAATATCATTTTATTAAACACAATCTTAAGGCGAAGATCGCAAAATTTTTAGTATTTAATATTTGTGACGTTCTAGGGTACATACTGCAAAAGCAGCTTCTAATAAAAGTTCATTACCGTATTTGGTCTCATTAAACCTTAAATTTTATGTGAGCTTTACAATTTTGATAATTTTAATCGTAGTAGCGCCATGAGTATCATTTCAAAAATTTTACAACCTAAAATATAATCCATGGCTTCAAAATGGCACTCCTGCACGTTCTGAAATAGCTAGCATATTAGAATCAATGTAATTAATCAATCCATAAATGTCTTTATAATCGATGCATTCTATTTAACATCAATACTAACACTAACGCAAATATTTTTGCATAATTATAGAAAAAAAGAAGAATCCCAACGATTTGTATTAAAATTTTTAATTTTGCAATTGGAAATTTAAGCTCTTAAAGATGAATTCTTGTACGCCTTCATTCGTGGACAAAGGAGTAAACGGCAATCTGGATAGAGAAGGTAATGATTTGCAATGATTCGATCAAAACATAAATGGAAACATCCATTATTTTTAAAATTCTAAACCATTTAAATAAACAAACATCGATATGTTATCGATATGTTTATAAACACAGATGCATAAAGGCGTAAATAACAATAAAGTCGGCTGCACTTTATCTATAGATTAAAATTAATTTGGTAAATCTTATTTTGATAATTGTGAAGATCCGATGGAGTTAGTAATGATATGATAATTTTACTAACTTCATTTTTGAATGAATTTGTTTAAGTTGAACTTTAAGCATATTGGTGCTGAGAAATTTAGTAATTCGTTTTGAAGATGCATAAAGATAAACATTAGTATAATAAAATGTTATGTTTAGACAACCATTATTTTGAATTCGAAGCATAAGCTGAGTTCGAAGTCCTACATGAAATAGCGATAGTGGAATAATGAAAAACAAGGCAAAATATATTTGAAACCTTGGAATTACTAGTAAAAATATCGATGGAGAAATTACTTATATAATAGTCACCTAAGCTTAACCCTCAATTCTGACTTTAATTTTAAATAAAAGGAGCCAATAAGTCTTTAAATTCTAATCATTAAATAATTTTCATGAAATCCATACTAAATCAGATATTACGATTATTATTGTTTACAAAATTTCCCTAAATGCTACTTGCACGAGCATATCGAATTTTTATTGTGATTGGTTAATTTTTGTAAATCATCTCGTGATTTTATTTGCCGATCAGCCAATCAAATTGTGAGATGATCGAAGTATAACAACGATATGTTATTAACATTTGATCACCATATATATATATATATAATGAACGTTATTAATACGCGAGAAATGCATTTAATACCTCTACAATCTTCTATAAAGAAATGGTTAAGTTATTATTGTGAAATCAATAAATTTATCTATACCAGGAACGGAGTTTTCCGTAAGTGAAAACAGAGAGTATGGTTTACCAAAATGTTCAAGGATGTTCGTCCCCAAACTCTTGCATTTGGTTGGGTGCCACGGTTGGCTATGATTTCTAAATATGTAAATTCGGATAATTTCGGATTCGCATTTAATTGAGGAAACCTTTTAAAGCGCTACCATGTGACTAAACAGTGGCAAATTTTAGTTGCTTAGCCGTTGGTGTACCAACATCTTCGCATTTAATAATTGGTGTTATGAAAAAGTTTGTCCTACGTAGTCAATATATAATCATGTCACGGTTGATGCAATCATTCGTTAATTAATGATTGACGTTTCTATTTACAATTCCAACTAACGAAATTTTCAATGGACATTTATTTGATCCAACAACTTTACTGAGAATCTGAAGATGTGTAGAAGTCAAAACCATCATCTAAAAAAATAAACTTAATACAACCAAATAAATTTAAAATTTTTGATACTCAACAATTTAATCACATAATATTATTAATAAATCGAACACTTATAAAAATAAAATTTCAGACTTTTTAATCTATCACTTATTAATTACCAACTCCAAACTAATACCATATATATCTTACTAATTAAAATTTCAAAAACTAAACTTAAAACCAAAATCTAATTTTTTGATTTTCATAACATGAAATTTTTAAACAAACCTGGCTAACTCTCTTTTTTTTTTTATAAAAAAACTATCCAGTTATTAAAATATATAAAAATTTTTTTACAAGTTTTCACATCTTACCCCATCAGTTATAAAATCAATTAATTAATTTTGCATTGTCTAATACATATTTTAATACCTAATTTCATGTATCCTTATAAAAAATACCCATCTCATTATAAATAATTGTCAACAACTGTACTCAAAATAAATATATTCTTGATAGAAATATGCAAAATTAGATATAATAATAAATTCAAAACTGAAATCTTGTTTCTTTTTAATAACAATCAAATATTATACCAATCAAATAAATAAATAAAATAAAATTACCCTTGGTCTTATACTATTATTATGATGATCAGGTATAATTTTACCTTCAACAGAAAAATATTCATCCTTTTAAAAAATTGCTTATGAATCAGGATCTCTTTCTTTAAAATTTTCTGGTACAAATAAAATTAACTTTATCTTATAGTGTAACAACTTAGTGAAGTAAGTAAAGTATCACATCCCAAATATCAAGTGCTAGAGTTCAATTTCTACTGGTGATGATATTTGAAAACTATATCTTAAATATCTTTCTATAATAAGAATATACTAACCTAATTGGTCTGATCTCTAACTGTAATTGTGTTTATACTAACTCAATTTGAAAAACAGATCAGTAACCTTATATATAGTATCTATATTTAAAACTCATACTGCAGAGAGCTATGATTAGAAATATAGAAGAATATAGGCTGGTATATATAGATTTATCACTAAACATTATAGCAGTCAGTACAAACTCACGATAAATCTGTATGAGGGTTATTTTAACCTGTTGTATAAAGATCTCACAAAACTAATCCTAATTAGAAAAGTTACTACAAAGTTCTAAATATAGCATTCATATTTAAAAATCTATACAGCAGAGAGTCAATATTAGAAATATAGAGAAATGTAAGCTAGTATATATATATGTATCTCTGAACATTATAGAATAGTTAGTGCAAATTTATAATAAATTTATATAAGAGTTATTCTAGTCATATAGAGTAAAACTATATGTTATCTTTATAAAAATATTATAAACATGCTATATATAAATATAAACACTAATTAAAGTTATAAAAACATTACAATTATGCATAAACATAAAACATCAACATTATAAGCTATAGGAATTTTCACAAGTAATATGAATACAGCTTTCACCTTACTAAAAGATACATTCATTGTAATTAGTAAGAGAATAAGGTATAAAGGTGGGCAGTAAAGTCTCTATATTTGAAGGCTTGTTTTAATTATGATCAGACTCAATGTACAGAATAAATTACAAGTTCTCTAAATACTATGAAAACCAGGTATATGTCAAGCAATCTTGTAAAAGATACTAATCAGACTGGTTATTCTTAACATCATTAGAATCTTATAACTTGTCTATCTAGTATAATAGATTTTTAAAATATTACAAACTAGCTTCTATAATAATATCTACTACTATTGCTTCCTTTATATTACACTTACACTTATATTAAAACAAAAATTAAAATCTTAATCTTATATTCTTTATATACAAACATCTTCAAAAAACACATATTTACCTTTCTTATAACTTGTAATCACAAATAACATTAAAGCAGAATTGACTAAATTTAGATAAACTTACACATAATTACTTTAGACTATGCAGGCATTTTGGATACAACTCTTAAAGACTCAGGCTATAATATTATTCTCTTAGAAATCACTTTATCTGCTGCTTCAATATTACTTTATAAACAACCTAAACAGAAAATAACTATTTGAAAATATGCAACTACTAAACAAATAAAAAAATACTAAAATCACCTAAATGAAAATCTAAAAAAAATTAAGAGCCAAATTATACAAATCCAAAATTAACAAAATATGGACAAAATTTGAAAAATAATTAACAAATCCTTTATAAAAGCAATCAACAAATATATACTATACAAAAAAATAAATCCTAATAAGAAAAAATAATTTACTCAAAAAATTAAATATACATCTACTTTCTTTCAATACAAAACACTTGTTAAAATTAAAAAATCCTTCAAATTATCTAACTTTTCTAATCTTTTCTATAAATATTACTAAAAATTTTAAAACAATATACTATTAACACCAAATCTCTTATCTAATCCACAAATATCAACTCTTTGAAATCTCTAAAAACTGAAACTAAATTTAAAAATATTTATAGTTCAGGATAATAAAAAATAAAAACAACAAAATTTTGATCAAATTTCAAAAAAAAAACTTAAACTTTACTAAAAATTTCAAACTATTTTTTAAGAAAGTTCTAGAAAAATATAACAATAATATCAATATAAATAGACTTCTTCTTCAAAACTCTTTACTACCAAATTCTAAAGATATTAAGGAAGCTACTCAACAACACTTACAAAACTATTTTCAACAACAACCACTTTTACCTATTCCTTCTGATTCTGATTTTTATAATTTATACAAACTACAACCTAAATTTGAGATTTATTACAGTAATCTTCTCATAGAAATTTTTGATAATGAATAGTTCAAAATTATAAACTAACTACCTACTCAAAAAGTTTCAAATCCTTCTGATACTAACTATAAATACATCAAATTAGCCTCACAGCAAAATTAAAAAGTACTCAGATTTTTTCTATCTAAATATTTACAACAATAACTAATACCCACAAATTGAAAAATATTAAATATATTTCTTATTTCAAAAAAATTAATCTGAGATTATACTTTAGATTAAGTTCATCCAATCTCACTATAACTCCTAAAAAAATGCTTAACTAAAATTTTTATACAAATCAAATAATTAACTAAAATAATCTTCTGAATAATTTTAACTTTGCTGCAATACCTAATATCTTTGCATATACACCAATTCAGATTCTACACAATACAATTGAATACTATAAACATGATCAAAAAGAGGCTTGAATACTTTTTCAGAACATGTCCAAAGCTTTTAATAAAATCAATATCTAACAATTTGTACAAGTATATAAAAAAATAGGCATATCTCAACAAAGTATAAATTTTATTACAAATTTATATCAAGATTAAAAAGCAAAAGTTATAACAGCATAGGTTTAACAGATTCAATTATACCTACTTTGATATTTAAGAAACTTCTTACTTATACTAGCTGTAGTATTATTGAAAAAATAATTTATTCATCTCTATTTTTAAAACAAATCTTTAAATTCTGAACCAAAGAATAGTTTTAAAAAAATTTGGCAACTATCAATTACTCCTGATAAAATTTTACAATATAAACAATAGATGAAAAATTTTACTAGCCTCTTCTTTTTAATTTATATTTTAAACTACAACATTAATATTAATAATCTAATTAATAATATAAACAATTCTTTAAGTAAAGGGTGTGACAACTTAGTGAAGTGGTGAAGTTGTCGCAAAGTAGCTTAGTGGTGGCGAACAAGAGTGCAATCACGTGATCTTTGTTCAATAATATTGTATGATCAGGTGTAATGTAGCACAAACAGGTAAATTCAAAACAAACGTTCATTTTTTCCAAAACCGCCAATAACTCAAAATTTTGCTTATGAAACCATCTTTGGTGTCTTAATAAAAAAATTTTCTTGCAAAATTTTACATTTAATATGATCTTTAAGCACCTTAATGCTAAACAATACATACCCTAAAGAAA